TCGGTTGGTCTCCTCTTATTTGTGTAATTCCCTTCGGAGCTGGGAATTTCAAAAGTTGATGGTATGTTGATGGCATAACCTTCATCTCATGTATCCATGGTCTTCCAAGAATAATATTATAGCCCTTATCGCCGTCTACTACTTCAAAGGGGGTCATCTTCATTAACCCTTCGGCATTCGTAGGCAGCAGAATATCCCCTCGGGTGGTTACGCTTGCTAAATTGAACCCGGTGAGGAGCTTTGTAAATGGATTGATACTTCCAGTCAGCTTGGCTTGTTCCATCTCTCTCCATTGGATAATATTGGCTGAACTTCCTAGGTCCACCAAAACAGTTTAATTTTAAAATATAAAACATTAAGAGAAATTACTAGGGCATCGTTGTGCGGTAGTAAGTGTCCATCTGTATCTTCCTCCGTGAAGGTGATGTCGTCCTCGGCGACTTCCCGGAGTCTCTTGTTATGGGTCACTGATACCTTTGTCTGTTTTGCTGTCGAAAAAATTACACCATTAATCTCATTCCCTTCATGTTGATTGTTAGACGAGAGGGATCTTCTCCTGCTTTTGTGGGTTCCGCCTTATCCCGATTGTGGCTGTAGGTATTCTTAGCCCGGTCGCTTAAGAATTCTTTCAGATGACCATTTTTAGCATTGTCTCTACCTCCTCCCGCAAATGACGATAGTCCCCTATCCGATGGTCGTTAGTCCCGTGATATTTACACCATTGATTGGGATCCCTCTAACTAGGATCAGATCTCATCGGCCTTGGGAATCGAGCTACTTTAATATTTCTCATTGCCGAAACCAGTTCCACTACGTTGACGTTGAAATTGTATTCGGACAGCTTGGGATAGGGAGAGTCTCGGGGGCCCGATAACTCTTAATTTGTAATGACCTATTATTCCAGCTGCGATCAGCTCTTCTATTGATAGCAAATCTATCCACGATCGGAAACCTCTGTCACGTCTTTCGGCCCTCTCGTAGGGAAAATATCGACCTTTGGAAGACCGTTGATCTGCGTCGAAATCATCCTTCAACTTTTCCTTATTTTTATATCGGTCCCGACCATTGGTTGATGCCGGGAAATCGAGCTGGTCATCCTCAATTCTTATCTTTTACTCGTAACGATTGTGAAAATTTGCCCATGTCGTTGCCTGGAACTCGAGCAGACTTTCTTTTAATTTCCGGGAAGCATCAGCACTCCTCAGATTTATCCCCTTAGTAAATGCCTCTGTTGCCCATTCGTCCAGGATGACCGGGAGCATCATCCTCTCCTTCTAAAATCTGCTCACTAACTCCCGCAGCAATTCAGACTCTCCTTGTGAAATTCTGAATATATCAGCTTTTCGGGCATGTACCTTCCAGGCCCCGGCGTGGGCCTTGATTAAAGAATCCGCAAGCATCTCGAAGGAATCTATTGAGTGCTCAGGCAGAAGTGAATACCATGCCAGGGCCCCTTTTGTGAAAGTCTCCCTAAACTTCTTCAACAAGACTGATTCAATCTCGTGCGGAGCCAGGTCGTTTCCTTTTACCGCCATTGTATAGTTGGTGATGTGTTCCTGAGGATCCGAAGTCCCATCATATTTCGGCACATCTGGGATTTTTAACCGTTTTAGGATCAATTCTAGTGCCTCACTTGGTTTGAACGGCAATTGGGTGTACTTCTTTGAGTCTGGTCCTTTCAACACCGGCAGTGCACCCGGGATTTGATCCATTCGGGTGTTTATTTCCCTCATAACTGCACAAATTCGATTTAAAGGTATCATTCTCCTTATTGTTACCAGGTCTGATGTCGACCTCACCCCTCGGGGTGTTGTTATCAACCCTTTATGTTTTTTGGTTTGTGGGAGGAATTGGACCTCTTCTATTCACGTTGTTCAAAGTGCCCGACAACGCTTACTTCAACTCTGCCATGACCTGGTCTTATCGTGAGAGGTGGCCCATAATAGCCATTTGTTGCTCCTATAAGATTTTCACTATTTCCATAACGTATCTTCAGTATCATCAGGAGTTGCCTCACGAACGTGTTGTGGATACTGTCCCCCATGGACCAGCGTGGCTACGCCCTCCTCATTGCAGATATCGCTTATTGAATCTTCGTGTTAAGGCTGATTTCCTTGGGCCTCCATGTTGTGTGTGTTGTTGACATTATTATCTGCCATTTTTTATGATTGTTTGCTAAGAGACAAAGAATTTAAACAGGTTATTAATAGATGCAAGGATCAACCCAATTATGCAATTGTCTAAACCCTACAATGGGGGCCAAACTGTTTACTCGTAAAATGGTACAGTGAATTTATACGTAATTTATAGACAAGCGAATTAATTTGATCCCAAAATGATACATAAATTAAATAAAATACAAGACTTAGCATTGAAATCAAGATGAGATAGCAGATAGCTCGGTTCCGGGTGCAGAGCTTCTGAAGACAATAGTAATAACCATAAACGAGAAATAAAATGTCATTGAGCTTAGAATAATGTGCATAGCATAAGTTTGTCAGAAAATTTATGTTCTTACAGTGGTTGTTGAAATCCCTATTTATAATGGCACCTAAGGAATAAGGTCCTAGGATCAAGCCTCTCTTAAATGACAATTATCGGGGCCATTCAACGGCAGGCTACGAATACCATATTCTCTATAGCGGACTATGCATATAATAATGCAGAATATTCTTCATTGAATGCTATCGGATGATAGTCATTCATTTGTCTTTATGAGCAATATTCCCTTCAAGGGCTTCCTAGTGCTAACCAAGATTGTTGCCTCTGGTCTTGACTTCTATCTGCCTCGCTTTTCATCTGTATCTGGTTCCACGTGTCTTTCTATTATATGAGTATTTAATATGAACCGTTTTCATCATTTCTAATAGTTGTTCTAGAAAAACCTTAAAAATCATGATTATACGTTTATTGTATGTAACAAAGAAACCCGTTAGATGACGGAAAACTAAAAGTCAAACCCTCTACAACAACCATTTTTTGTTATATTTTCTCTGTACTTTTTTTAGATTATAATGGAGAAGACTTCCCATCACTGGGTTAATTTGTAGTTGTACAGTATGAGCCCTGCCCGGAATGAGTAGGATTTATTTTAGAATGGAGATCCCCCTCCCTAGCAAGCCAAAAAGCTTTATGATGAAGTTCCATATGCTTCTGTAACCTCCCGTTCCGCCATGAGCAAATTTATCTTTAAAAGATAATCATTGTTGCAAATTTTACAAATAGTTTTTCATTACCTGTATCATGCGTAAACCATTGCCAAAAAATTAATCCTTTTTTATGTTCAATTGGTTGTCTAATGGGAGGTACCGAATATCAGCTCCAAACTGAGATTGACTCTAAGTTAGAGTTGCAGGAGCAGGACTAGTGGGTATTTCATCTAAGTTCTCTTCATCCTCACTTAAATTTTCATAATCATCATATTGTGCTTGCAGTGCTTCGTGATATAGTGGTTGATAATTAATATTAACATCATGATAGAGAGGTGTTTCATTTACTTAGATAACGTCATCAAGAGGATTAGGATTACTAAAACTAGCATTACCCTTAGTCAATTTTTAAACATGTTTTTTACTATTTCAGGAGTCATTTCTAATAATAAATAATTAAATAAAAATAAATAGCAACATAAATATAACGAAAATAAATGAAAAAATTAATAAAAGTTGGTATGAATGTACCAAACGCCGACATATAATTGATGTTGATGTAAGACAATTTCTCCAACTAGTAGTATAGTGCCAAGAAAAACATACGCCTCCATATATTTGATATTGATGCTTAAAAATTTTATATCAAAATAATATAATGCTAAAACGTCAATTGCAATTAGAGATAGAGAGAAATAAAGAATTGGAGAGATAGGAGAGTTTTGTGTGCAAACTGAAAGAATGAAATGGGGTATTATAGTTTTTAAATAGAGTCAAAGCGTATTTTTACAAACTTAGGGGTTAAAAACATAAATTAGGGGGTAGAGGATGTTAGGGGGCTAGGGAAGCAAAAATAGCAATTTTTGGCTGTTGCCAATGACTATTTTTTTAAAAATAGCATTTGGCTGACGGTAAAAAAAATGGCTACATTTAAAAACAATATTAAATGTAGGGTACCGGTTCGGTATCAGACCAATACTAGTTTGGTAACTTAAGGGTATAACACGGACCGGTCTACCGATACTTTTTCCGGTACCCTCCCACTCCCCGTTCCCTTTGCCTAAATCCCCTACCCCTATCCCTCAATCAGACCGGGATGGATCGGTATTGGTATGGACCAGTTCCGAGAAATTCCCTCCCTTTAGACATCCCTAATTTAAACTTATTTTGCACTAATGGCCTATTTAATTAATTATTTAAACAAAATAAATATCTAATCCACTAATGAACTAATTAATTAACTAATTATGCTTCTTAACTATCCTAAAATGCTTCAAAAGACAGATTTTTTTTTTTTTTTTTTTTTTTTTTTTTTTTGTAATTATGCATGCATATAATGCAATTAATATGCAAACTAATTGAATAAAATAAAATTCCTAAAATTCAATAAAGTTAATAATAATAAATAAATTATTTTTAGGAGCACTTATAGGTCAAAATTACATGCTGAGAACACTTCTCATCCAATGGTATAATTAGGAAACTGGTCCGTTCTTAGAGCAACACTCTAGATTTAGATGCGGGTGTCTTAATTTGTCAGCATGGAGAAGGGAGAAGAGTAGAAGTAAAAGGGGTTTACACCTGAATTTTGTACGGGATACATGGTCTTTGTAAGTGACACAGTGGAGAATTCTAATTATTTTATAATTTTCGTGGGCTTTTGTGCTTGGTTTTACCCTTTCACTGTCTTCGTAAGTGATACAATGGAGAATTCTAATTATTTTATAATTCCGAGGGTTTTTATGCTTGGTTTTACTCTTTCTCTTTTCGAAGTTTGTTGCATGAATTGTCTCTCTTTTTTTTCCAAAACAAAAAACGCAGAATTTGGTATCGATGCTTTGGGAAACAGTGGGCATCGAGACGATATCAGACAAATGCCGAATATCTGAAATATTCACAAGTTCAACAGTGCATATCATCCTCATTCTCCGTGAAAAGAAAGATAAAATTGAAAGCATTCAGACAAAGAGGCAAAGGATGATTAGGATACTGTAAATGGTGCTAATGCTGCTTCGATATTTACTTTCTCTTTCGCCCACGACCCCTTCCCCTTCTGGCTGGAACATCTTTTGAAGTGCCAACATCTTCCTTCTCAACCTCCTCCTCACTTTTTTCGTCATCGCTTCCCTCATCAAAGGTCTCAGTTCTGTCTGTAGATTGTGTGTCCTCCTCTTCTACCGGCTCTTGAACAGCAGGTCCCTGTTTAGAGAGCTTATCGCGAAGTTCTCTGAGTTTTTTCTTCTTTGAATTCAGGACTCCAACAAACTGGAAGTAAAAGGACCACAGTCATGACCAATTATAAACCAACTCTTTTGGGATGTTCTCTCCTAAGCCTAATTAAACCGTTGCCAAGAAAACAAAGGGTAGCAGGATATACCTTGTATGATGTTAAAAGAAAGATCAAAATATTAATATATCGCAACCAACAGTGAAATAATAACAGATCCTAGTGCTTGGACTAAAAACAGCACCTTTGCATATATTGCAGATTCAAATTCTTCTTTCTCTTTGCTGAGTTTCTCGCTTTGTGTTAAACATTTTTCAGCCTCCTCTCTCAGCCTCTCAAATGATTGAGTTTTACTGACAACTTCATCCTATTAAATCAAATAACTCGTGAGAAGTTAAATCAAATAAACTGGCAAGGGCTTTCACACAGCATAACAATGTACCTAGAACTTTTAGATGAAACAAACAGATCGTAATTAATATTTTCAAAGCAGTGTCTCAACATGAATTGATCAAAACCTCATCATTTCTCAATCAAATTTAAAAAATTGTGAGAGCATACTAACTGCAGAACCATATAAAATGCTGTCTAGATGGAAGAAAAGAAGAGTGCTGACATTTTCTAAAGCAAAGATAACAGAGAATCAAGATGACAGAAAATATTTCAATTTACCATGTTAAATATTATAGGTATGATATGCTGGTAATGCAAAAGCAGGAATCGAAGCTGTAGTATCTTGAATATTCACTGAATATATATTATTATATATACACTAATTTTTTCCTTGCACCGGAAAGAAGAAAAAAGGAAATCAATTAACAAGAGGTAGGTAACACCACCAGAAATGAGGATGTCTTCGGATTGTTCTCAAATTCAATTATTCAAGATGAGGATGAATTTAGTGCAGTCCTAAAACGTCTCTTAGGGACAGATACACAAGTTCCCCTTCTTTAAAAATGCCTAGGCATATTCAGATGGGAAAACGTTGCAACTTACTGTCCACTATAAAAAATCACAAACTTCCAAGCATATTCTCATATCATACTGCAGGTGATCTATCGGTCCAATATGATTCCACTTTCATGTTCCAAGATACAACCAGGCACCAAGCTTGAATGGGTACAGATCTAAACTTTCTTGGTAAAGTAGCAACAGTACTCATCTAGAAAATCATTGGGGGAAACCAGAGGCGGATCTAGGATTTCTAGTACATGGGTGCACTACTAAAAAAAGGAAGAAAAAATGTATCTAGTGGGATTTGATCCCTATATCTCTTGGACAATAACTCAACATTCAACCAAATGGACCATTCAATCTTCTTGGAGCATAAGTGCCAACAGTTAATATTATACCAATTTCTGAAAATATGTACATAAAATATCTAATTTTACGAAGAGACCATGGGTTCACGTGCCCCATATTTAAGCCTATAAATCCGCCCTTGGGGGAAACCAACCATGCAGTAACAGTGCAACTAACCGCTGCCAAACTATTCGAATCAACAAGAATACAATAGGAAACTATAGGAACTCGTGCAGAAGTATTACATCCTCTCCCAACATTTCTAAGAACGGTTTTCCGTCATCATCCATGGACGAAAGTTAACACTGGCTGTAACTCATGTTATGCATAAAAGATCCTAATTACTTAAGTTTATCTGATTATCAGCAAATAGATAATTAGATGACAGATCAATAGAATTGAAATAAACTACAAAATTGGATTAAAATATTGTGAATAAGAGACAGTACAGGAATCATGATCCTTACACTCAGTCTAATGTTTGCATCCATGAGAAAGTCCAAGATGTCTGCGGTAGTTTTCTTGCTATTATGAGACAGTTGGCATTTCCACCGCCACTCCAGCTTTGTGCCTTCTTTCTCAAATGTCCATGAGAGCTATAAAGATCAAAAGGAAGTAACAGGGTATGTAAGCACATCATAGCTTTTCAGACTTGCAATAATGCCATAAAGATATATGTATCTCAGCTACATCGACTTCAAGCTAGATAAATTTCTTGCTCTTTAGGCATTCATGAAGCAATTCAAAGCAAAGTATGTGAGATGTACTATAAACCTACGACGCACCACAATAGACTTAAGAAGCAAGAACAATAAACAGTTGGTGCATATGGCTAAAATCACTAATTTGTCAAGCCTCCAAGCTGACCCCGCCCTCTTGCTCCAAGCTATTGAGTTCTAGCAGTAGGACTGTCTTATGAAGGGTGTTTCAATGAGCGCAAACTGAACCAGGAATTAACTTATATACAAGGCTACTGCAACATCTCAAATCAAATTGAGCAATTCGTGAATCAACAACACAAAGTCTGAACCAACAATTCCTACAATATGCTCAAATTAACAAAGAAATGACAGATATACTGAAAAAAATTCAAGAGTATAGAGAGTCAGTCACGAGTCTTAAAATTACAACATTAAGGGGCTTCATCAACAAGTCAGTGTTACATGATTAAACTAAAATCTCATATTTAGGGTGTCATTTCTGTTCTTTTAAGAAATTTACTCAACGCAGAGATATCACTGTAGGAAATAATTGAATGTGCAATAAACTAGGTTTTAAAGAAAATCAGGAACAGCTGACCCTTTTATGGCCAGGGCCAGCATCATCAAAGCCATAAACAGAACCGGGTTGTTGAAATCCCAAATACTTTTCACCCAAATCAATATACTCAGAAACGGGTTGATCCCATTGAGAAGCTCTCTCTTCTACCTCTTCCTCCGACGCTACACGGAAAAAACCCCAATAATTACAAAGTAAATGTGAAGAATCGCAATTAAACTAAGTTCAGGAGATAAATTAAACAAATTGGGGATGTAAATTTGAGTTTGAATAAAAGGGAAAATACCAAGGCAAATCCAAGCTTCGAGACCGTCAGTGATGAAGAGGTCAAAGTGAGAAGAAAACCACGTGCCTTTCACGAATATTCGTTCCTTCTGCGTCTTGCTGGAAATTTCCAGTTTGAGGCAGGTGTGTTTGGGACTTGCTGACCCCATTGACGACAGGAAAATTACTTTGCTTTCCCTCCCGCTGTTGTCTGTGACTTCGTACTATGGAAGCTTTTGAGAGAAGAAACTGGAGAAAACTTCCCGCGCCTCTTATTTTCCTCATTTTACATTATCCCTTTCTTTTCTTACTAGTACTAACTAGTATTAGTCTTGTATCTCCTATTAATATATATAAATTTTAAATTAAAAATTATTTATGAGTTATTGCAAAAGAATTTTTTTTTAAAAAAAGGTATAAGTTTTTTAAATTAATTACTATTGTGTCCTATTTATCTAGTTACTCAATTTAGGAAGAAATTTTGCACTATGTATCTTCCTATAAATATGCAATATTATTAGTGTGCTTTTATTTTAGAACTCATATAGTACATATTTAACTACAATTTTTATATACTTTTACTTATGTAAGGTAACTTTCGTAAAAGTTCAAATATTTACATGCTCAATTTGATGTGTTTCCATTGAAGTGATAGAATCTAAATGGAATTTAAACTTTTAATATTAAGACTTCCTATCTAATTTTGATTAGGAAGGATTCAATAAATAAAATTTAATTGATTTCAAAATCCTAAGAATTAGGGAAATGATTAAATATCCTAAGAAAAATAATTAAATGACTATTTTGTTTAGAGTTAAACCTATTATTAAAGGCATAAATATGCAAACGATATTTTGCTAAGAGACTTTATAATTTTAATATAGTGCTAATTTTTGGATACGTGTTTTGCGCGTGTACCCCATATCAATAAGTATAAAATTCTGAAACATATATAAATATTTTTAAGATATGTATACTTAACGTACAATTGTTAAATGTCATTTCAAAAATATTTCTGAAATTCGATGTTGAGTTTAAGAGTATTAATAGTAGATGATAATTTAGTATTTATTAGCACACTTCGTTACCTTTGCAAACACAGAATCCACAATTACATGCCTTTGAAAATTGTCCATAAAAATCTTAGATAATTTTAAAGTTTTTAATATTAAGCAAGCAATTTGTAATTTTAAATTTTTAAAAGTTAGGAATTTTTACCTAAATAAAATAATNTTTTACCTAAATAAAATAACTAGAAATATTTAATTGCCAATAAACTTTAGCTAACCTAACTCCTAAATAAAGGAGTTTTTATTTTTTTAAAACTATTAGAGATGTAAGATGCATAGTTCTTGCATTTCAATTTTCAAAACCATAGTAAGAGTCTAAAAAGAAAAGATGTTTCATTAAACAACTATTGAAAAAAAACAAAATTCAGTCTCTTTTTGCAATTGGAGACGTAAGTTGTGCATATCACAATGCTAAATTATACATTTCATATTGCAAAATCCTAAATATTAGGAAATTTATCATGAAAAAGTATTATGGTTATGTTACTGTTCAGTTAAGAAAATGATTTATACACGGTAAAGTTATAGAAAAAATTAAAGTCCTAAATATTAGAAATTCTTACATAGTTTAAACAAGGAAAGATTTAATAATAAAATATTTTAATTGATTTTGAAGTAATAAATATTAGGAAAAATAATCTAATTACTATTTTGTCCAATAAGGATTTTATTTTTAAAGGCTAAAAAAGGCGAACGACATTTCGCTAAGGGGCTTCGTGCTTTTAATATAGTAGATTAGTACCCACACAAACCATGTAAAAACTGACTTGGGCTATTTGAATTATGTGGAAATAACCTTAAAATATAAACCTTCCAATTAAAAATATATATATAACCATTAAATATTAATTAAGAAGCAGGACATGAAACTATTTCTCAAATCTCATAATCGATAATCTATTTTCTTTTTTATATCTGTAACAACCAACCCCTTGATTTTAGTATTTTCATTTCGTTTTGCAATCAATATTAAAAAACACTAAACATATCATATTGTAATATATGTTGTTTGAGCACATTAGATCATGTTATTTTAACAAAATTTTAACTATCACTTTGTTTTTCAACTCAACTTCAAATAAATCTTATTGTTCTACATATTTAGACTGTTTTTTCGTTCTTAGCTTATAGTTATTGCATTATTCATTACTTAATATTGTATAATATCATGTGATTTTTATTAGCTTACCAATTGACTTAATATTTTACTTATTACCCTTTTAATAACAACATACCTAGTATATTCTCACATGTAGGGTTTGGTATTACCCTTTATATATATATTGAACTTTAATGTATTTTATGCTTTTATCCTCTTAATCAGAACTCTTTTATCATTTAAATATATTGATAATATTTTTAAGCTCTCTATTTTTCTTTTTATATATTCTCTTTCCTACTATGAAATTTTAATTATGTTTTTTAACATTAATATTTGCCTATAATTAAAATAATATCATATTTTATTTTAAACAACAACTTTGAATTGTCTAAAATATTAATACATAAGTTCTTTGATTATTATGTTCCAAATCTATTTGAATTTTCTTATAATTATTTTTCTATTACATCCAATTAAATTTTCTTTCTCTTTTAGTTTCAAGGTACAAATTTGACTTCTAATGTTCGCTAGTAAAATTACCTACATTAGACATTTATTTTTTATTGTTAAATTTTGAATTTGTTATCAATTTTTTTAAAAAAATCTAGTAAGACTTCAATTTCGTGATTCTATTCATAGTTTGAGCATTCTTATCATAATTTTAAGAAATTTCTAATTTCAAGTTCAAATAATCTTTTCCTTCCATTTTTAAGAATAATCTTATAGTATTACATGTTTTCACGTGACTTTTTATTAACTTACCATTTTATTAAATATTATTGTTCTTTAATATTTATTTTATTTAAAAGTATTGCTCGAAATTCTTAAATTATTTAAATTTACCAATAATATTTGTAAGTATTGTATATTTACTTTATTTTATTTATAAATTAATTTATTGTATAAATATCCTCTCTTTAGCTCTAATATGTTTTTATTATTTAAAATTTTTATTTTTTTAAATCTATTAGACTTGAATTATGTGGCCTTATCCATAACATGACCTTTGTCTTCTCATATTAAACAATAAAGGAAATTTTACCACCTATAGAATAGGTTAGTACCCTATTTATATTCTATAAATACCCTTTTAAAATATTACATTCTATAAATACCCTTTTTAGTTTATAGCAAAAAATTTAAATTTAGTTCCATCCTAAAATTAAGGCTTAATATATGCTACAAAATATTTTTCTATCTCATTTTTTTTTATTTTCTCTCACCTAATTAGCGTATATCTCCTCTCATCAGCTTTTCTCTCTCTTCTTCAATACACTTTTCCCTCTTCTCCCACAAACACACGTTCCATACACTTCAAAAACCCTCCTCCGTCATTATCGCGTATACTTCTCCGCCATTATCGCCTATACTTCTCCGCCATTATCACCCCACACGCCATTCTTCTTCGCAACTGTTCTCAAGCGTATTTTGACGGGCAAGTTGGTTCTCAAGTGTTTTTTAGAGCTTCACAGTTGTATTTTGGAAATCTTCTCCCCATAGGTAATTCAACTACTTCGAAATTGCTTTTTCATAAGTTTGTTTCTATAAGTTTTTTTACCGAATTTACACAATTTTCTGATATATCTTCCATTTGTATTGTTAATCACCAGGATTCTTTGAG